GGCATTTCGTTTTATAAGTATCTCAAACCCATTGAATTATTCACTCATTTCACGAGCTTCATCATATCCTTACCCACGTATCAAATTTATATTAAGCTATATTTTTTTAAAAATTTAAAAAATAATTTTATCATGAGAATATTTAAGATTTTCAAATATTATATCTATCAGGTAAGGAAGGCTGACCCAGTCATGACTTGAAACAGGATAAATTGAAAAAACACATTCCTTTGATAATATTTTTTGGGTATCAATGTAACTTGCATTCAATGCCATTTGAACAATGTATCTTGCCTTCAATGCCATCTGCTCAATTCCTGCAATATGTGGTCTCTTCTGTCAAAATTGAGAAAAAGGGGTAGAATTAATTTCATTAATAATTTTTTCTAGAATGATATTGTTTTAAAAGTCCAATACTAATATAAATTATAATGTTTATAAGTTGACTAATATAAAATATTGTTGTTCTTACTGATACCTTTTTTCTTATTCTATAACTTTTTCTTTTTTGTTTTCGAACAACGACTTTCTTTTATTTTCTTTTACCAATCTCAAATAATTTTTTCACACAAGACAAAAAAATGAATGAATTAATTTATTTTTCTTTTCTAAAACTATAAATATTTCTACAAAACAAATAATATAATACAATTATAAATAAACAAAAACAATTATCGATTTTTTTTCTTCTAATATTATTTTTTTTTTCTCTTTTCTTCTACAATATAATAATAAATAATACTTATCGATTAATTTTTTTGCTATAACTATTTCATCTACTATAATTTCCTACAATTCAATATTCAACCCGGCTATAACAGATATCATATCAATAACTTTTAAATCGTGGGGCTGAGATATATATCATTTTTATTTCTGCAATTAAGGTTTTCCGTTAATCCACAATCCCACATTTTACAAGACATTATCTTCATTATTATTATCATCGAAATTCAAGCTTACTGAAATGACCGTAATGCTAGGCCCTGCATTCAACAATATAAGTTGTCCTCATTAGTTAATTTTGTCTCCCATCTATTTTCTTTTGGTAATTCAATCCTATTTTTATTAATATGTTATAAAAAAATCATATCCACACTTTACGTGATACGTAATATATAGCGCATATGCTCTCTGATGTTGAATAAACAACAGAGCTAAGCTAGGTTTTCCTCATTTTTATCTAATTGGAACAGAAGTTAATTAGGGTGCAAAGTGTAAAAAATATGAGGGGCCTTCTACACGTTTGTGGGCATTTAATTCTTTTGGAGAAGTCACGAGTTCACAGCTTTTGTGATAATTTGTTTTTTGATGGTTTTCAAAGATTTCTCCGACAATTTTGCATCTGTTTAAATTTCTTCTAGCTCATCTTGAGCCAAATAAGATACTATATGGCAATATGCTCCATTATCTCGGGTAGAGTATGCAAGCCACAACCATCTGGTAAAATAACTGTTTTCAAATGTTAACTTTCTATTCTATTAGAACAAATAATTTGTGTATATTGATAATTGGGGGTACGAGTATAAATCTATTATTATTAAATAAATTATTTATCATGCATATTCTTTATAACATATGTCTTTCTTCTAGGGCGAATATTATCTGTATCCAAAAAATTGGCTATATCCTGTGGATGATCACTATGCTCCATTTGTAAGTAGCGTCCCTAGGGGGTGGGGGCGAAGGGGCTATAGCCCCCTGAAGTGAGGAAATTTTTTTTCTTAATGGCTCCCTAATATCCCCCTGAACATAGATTTTATTTTATTATTTAAAAATTAATTAGACTATCTAAATTTTTATTAAATGAGTGCTATTTTTATTAGATTATATAAATTATATTTATTATTTAAAAATTAATAAGACTCTCTGAAATTTTTATTAAATGAGTGCAATTTTATTAGATTAGATTAATACATATAAATTATATTCACTATATTTATATCAGCTTACAATAAAATTCGGTTTTAAAAATGGAATATCAATATCACTTATAATGTCTAAATATTAATTTAGCATTCAATTGAAGCTTAATTGATTTACATAACCCTAATTGAATAAGTATAATCATTTATTATCGAAAATTAACAAATTTAATATTGTAATTAGCCGAGTTTGAAATCACCAATCAACTATATTATTCATTTTTAAATTTAATTATCATGTTTCTTCCTAAAAATATTTTCTAGGTCCAAATAAGTATAAAATATTTCTTTATTAAAAGTAAGTAAACATATAGTTGATAATCCTAAAATTATGTATAAAATGTTAAATAAAATGCCATAGTTAATATTTTAATAAATCTTACTAATAAATGCTTTTGATAATTAATATAAATAAAAATTTGATTCAATCTTTAACGCCATCTACTTATTTAATATATTAATAAAAATTAAACATATTATTATTCATCCCACAATGGATGTAATCTTATTAGATATCTTTTCTTCTCTTTTTTTTTACTTGTTTTGTGGTGCGACAATAATATATAAAATCTTAATTGCTTTCATCATATCACTCTAATCCTTATTTTATAGTTACAAAATGTTTCATTTCTAATATGGCATCCTTGCCTTGTGAATAACTTAAAGCTTCAATATATTTTCATAATTATTTCCTCTAAAGATTTTTAGTGTTTTTGTTTTATCAATTTATATAACATAAATTCTGATAAAAGTTTACATATTAAGTGTCAAGGCTTTGTAAATTAACCAGCATCTTTTATTTGTGTAGCTATGTAATTTAAGAACCCCTGCTGTTGAGAGCATTTGATTGCATAATTTAGATGAGTAATAATAGTCAACTGTTTAGTGGTTTATATATCATTAAAAATGGAAGATAATCTTTTAGAAAATATCTCACAATAATTTTCTCGTTTACTTATCTAGCTTCATAACAGTGGCGTAGCTAGGAATTTTCGAGGGGGTCCATACATATATAAGACTGGGGGGCTTCACCCCCAGACCCCCTTTAACGGGCTTTCGGCCCTTTAGCCCAGACTTCGGCCGGGTTTATCTTAAAAATCATAACAATATCTTCGATATTATATAATTAATATAGTTAATGCATCTATAATATATTATTATAATTTAGTAGATTATCTCAATATATTATCCTTCCACGAACATCAAAAATAAAATATTCATGGTATTTATTTGATATAAAGTAACTTTTAAGTCTTTTGAACTATAATCTAAAAAAAAAATTTGCTCTGGGAGGGGTCCAAACCCGAAAACCACCCCCGTAGCTACGCCACTGCTTCATAATGTCATCTATGTCTAACCACCATATAGTCGATTAATGATAGATACTGCCTCAAGGTAGTACCTATCAAATTTGTATTTTGTTTATTTTTCATTTGGATAGGTAGTACCAAATTTATTTATAATATATATATATTTGAAAAATCTTGATATTTGTAAAAAGTCTGTGGCCTAGTCGGCAAAAGCTTCGCTTAATTCGATGGTTTGGTCTGTCCGAAGTATAAATTTTCGACCGTAGATAAAGTTGTGGAATTTTTCTATTCCAAATAACAATGCCCTCGCTTGTTTATCGATAAGCGCATAATGTTTCTCCAACTGTAACAATGTCCGAGACGCGAATGCTATGGGTTTTTCCCCATTTTGTGAAACCTTATGAAGTAAAACAGCCCCCAGTCCTGTATCTGACGCGTCACACTCCATAATCAATGGTAATTTAGCATTATACGGCGTTAAGGCTTCTGCTGATAACAATGTCTTAACTTTATCGAAAGCCTCCTGCTCTACATTAGTCCAACACCATGGTACTTTTACACTAGTCAATCGATGTAACACAGCAGCTTCACTATGAAGATTGAGAATGAACCGTTCATGATACGTGACAAGCCCAAGAAATGAACGTAACTGATGAACATTCTTGGGGTTAGGTGCGGCCTGGATTGCTTTAACTTTCTCTTCGCTTGGATGTACCCCATTTTGGTCGATAACGATACTTAAAAACGAAACAGATTTCCGTAGAAATTGGACTTTTTCAAATTTACCTTTGAGGCCTGATCGAGTACTATTTATAAATTAGCCAGATGTTTGGCGTCATTTTTTCCGGAGATATTTACATCGTCTAAATACACTCCAGTCATCGGGCATTCTTTCAAAACATTGTCCATGTAACGCTGGAAAATAGTTGGTGCGCAAGAAGGCCCAAACGGCATCCTTCGGTATCGAAAATATCCTTTATGTGTTGTGATGACCAAATATTCTGGGGACTCTGGCTCAACGGCTATTTATAGATACACGTCCTTTAAATCTATCACCGTAATACGGTCCCCCCCCCCCGAATCTTAACCAATAAGTCATCCAGCGTAGGAATAACGTGATGATCATATAATAGATGGGGATTTAAACTCACCTTGAAATCTGCGCAAATACGAATCTCGCCATTGTTTTTCCTGACATTTACTGTTGGCATGGCACCCTAGTTATAGAGGAATCGATGGGCTCCAAAATCTCCGCAGCCACAAGGCGATCCAGTTCTAGTTCAACCGCTCTGCGTAACGAAAATGGCATTCGACGAGCTGGAAACTATTTTGGAACAGCCGTATCTTTTAATTGGAGTCGCACCGCGAAATTAAGTATCAAACCCAGCTTGCCTTCAAAAACAGCTTTAAATTGTTTAGCTAACAAATGCCCCATTGAGTCTTCCGTTAGTGACATCCTCGATCAGTGTGAGCATCGATTGTATTCGAACGGCCATTGGAGCTTCGGCCCGCGGGGGAACCGATTGTATTCGAGCAGCCCATCGGGGCATCGTTGGTTTGGTGGCAACTTGATATTATTGTTTTTCTATTCGTTTTGAGAACCTGTTGTATGCTTACATGTCTCGGTAACTCAAACTCAAATGCTAAAATCCATGGCAACCCAAACAGAGGTAGGTCATTTGACTTTATTATAATAACTGATAAATTGCGAATTTCCTTCCCCACTTGCACACGAACCATGGCTTCACCCATAAGATCCAAAGGCTTATTTCCAAAGGCTGCTAATGGGTTTGTGGAAGATGTTAATGGTTTGCCAATTTTCTCCCAATAATCCTATAATAGAGGCTTGTGCTCCTGTATCATAATCAAAAGTGACACTAAGTCCATTTATTTTGGCTGTGATCTTTGCCCTTTTATTTAATCCCCTTGTCCGGAGATTATTAATTGAATCACTTGAGTGAAAATGTGGTTTCACTGAGTTTAAATTGCGATATACAGGCTTACTACGGCTACATGCTGCGAAATGTCCGGTTCTTTGGCACTTAAAACATGTTTTGTCTTTAGCTGGGCATAAATATTTTTCATGCCAGCCGGCACAATTCTTACATTTATTATCGTAAAACTTGTTATTAGGCTTCCTATAATTATTGTCTCTCTTAACACACTCTTGTGAATTAGGCATTTTATGTTTGCAATCTTGCGGTCTGACACTATTTACCAAGTCTTTTTTGATAGTCATTTCGTTTTGAGCATTTTCTGTTGCCGTGGCCATATCTAGCACGAACTGGAACGTCAGGGGCTTTTTGTTCACATCCAATGCTAAAGGATATTTAGTCCTAAGTTCAACTTCGAGACCTGGTAGATCTATACCCGCAACTAATTGATCTCTTAACTGGCCGTCAACTTCTGACTGCTTAAAACAACACGCTTTGGCAGTTATTTTGATTCTATTATCGAACTCTCCAATTGGTTCATTCTCGTTCCTAATTAACAAGTCTAATCTACTACCCAAAATGGTTTTATTCTTCTCAAAAATATGTAGCGAGACACTCCTTATCTTATCAAATTTAGTCGTTAGAATGGTTTCAGGAAATAAATATTGTTCGAGAATGTCAATGCCCTCAGCGCCAAAACTCACAATGAACAGGTCTTTATTTTCTTGATCGGTCGGTGTCCAGTTCTTTAGTCTTAACGTTGCGTCCCAAAATTGGAAACGTTGTATAGACCCATTAATTTGATATTTTTCTAACTTATCAATTATACTAGTATTTTTGGACTGAGGCATAATTTATAAAATTAATAACTATATTCTTACTTGTTTTAGAATATTAGAATCCCATCCTCGTCACCACTTTAACGAAGGTAGAACCATTATTTACATTTATTTATCTATATTATAATTTTCCGATGTTCTCACTACGTCATCGTGACGTCATGTCATCGCTACGTCATGTCATCGGTACGTATTTATTTTTATTTTTTATATTTGTTGATTTATTTTATTTTATCATTTTATTTTATTCAATAGATGAATGGAATTGATGGTGTACACGTACCGATAAATTTATTCCCTCAAATTTGTAAATATGAATGAAACTTTTTATTTCACTTAATCCTTTCTTAATTTTTTAGATTACCTTATCAATTTTTATCTCATATTATCAACTACACATTAATGAAAGCTTTTTATACTCATATTTTTCTTTCATAACCAATAATAAGAAGATAACCAAGTATATTCAAATATTTAAATATTCTTATCCTAACCTATTTATACTTAATAACATTACATTCATCATATTATTTTTTAACTTTTAGAATATCATAATAGGCTTGATAAGTTCCCCCAAATTTTTTTTTGAAGATAGCCCTCCAACTATTAGAAATATGCATCTAATATTGACCCATCTACCGGTTTTACATTATTTTAATGTTTGCTTAATTTCAACAATAGTTTATTTATATTTTTGCCTGATTTCTTTATTTGTCTAGGCTAACCCTAATCCCTCACATTACTACAAAACATGATGAATCTATGATTAAAGATAAGCAAAGAAAATAATGACGATTAAACAAACGCCTTACCCGTTCTAGAGTTACTGGTAGACAAAATAATAAAGAACTACGCTTGAAATGAACTCATCTGGAGGTTTATTTTTTTTTTATCTTATGTTTTATATCTATGTTTATTTTATTTTCACCTAGTTCTCCAAATGATATTTCTATCACCACTACCACAATCCATATGCCACCTCCACCTATTTTTTAACAAATATAAACATTTTTATTTATCACTAAATTTTATTAACTCATTTTTTTCTTTCTATCTCTATTATCTATTAACCACTATTTCTCAAAACCTTATCAATTCCTTTAATTTAATTTTTATTATTTTTATAATATCATAATTTATACCTTCTTTTTTCCCCCATTTTTTAATCTTATTTTTTAATTACCTTACAATTAATTAACCTTTATCTTAATAACATTACATTACATTCATCATGTTATTTTTTAACTTTTAGAATATCATAATAGGCTTGATAAGTCCCCCAAAAATTTTTTTTGATGATAGCCCTCCAACTACTAGAAATATGCATCTAATATTGACCCATCTACCGGTTTTACATTATTTTAATGTTTGTTTAATTTCAACAATAGTTTATTTATATTTTTGCCTGATTTCTTTATTTGTCTAGGCTAACCCTAATCCCTCACATTGCTACAAAACATGATGAATCTATTATTAAAGATAAGCAAAGAAAATAATGACGATTAAACAAACGCCTTACCCGTTCTAGAGTTACTGGTAGACAAAATAATAAAGAACTACGCTTGAAATGAACTCATCTGGAGGTTTATTTTGTTTTTTTATCTTATGTTTTATATCTATGTTTATTTTATTTTCACCCAGTTCTCCAAATGATATTTCTATCACCACTACCACAATCCCTATGCCACCTCCACCTATTTTTTAACAAATATAAACATTTTTATTTATCACTAAATTTTATTATCTCATTCTTTTCTTTCTATCTCTATTATCTATTAACCACTATTTCTCAAAACCTTATCAATTCCTTTAATTTAATTTTTATTATTTTTATAATATAATAATTTATACTTTCTTTTTTCCCCCATTTTTTAATCTTATTTTTTAATTACCTTACAATTAATTAACCTTAATCTTAATAACATTACATTACATTCATCATGTTATTATTTAACTTTTAGAATATCATAATAGGCTTGATAAGTCCCCCAAAATTTTTTTTTGATGATAGCCCTCCAACTACTAGAAATATGCATCTAATATTGACCCATCTACCGGTTTTACATTTTAATGTTTGTTTAATTTCAACAATAGTTTATTTAAATTTTTGCCTGATTTCTTTATTTGTCTAGGCTAACCCTAATCCCTCACATTGCTACAAAACATGATGAATTATTAAAGATAATCAAAGAAAATAATGACGATTAAACAAACGCCTTACCCGTTCTAGATTTACTGGTAGACAAAATAATTAAGAACTACGCTTGAAATGAACTCATCTGGAGGTTTATTTTGTTTTTTTATCTTATGTTTTATATCTATGTTTATTTTATTTTCACCCATTTCTCCAAATGATATTTCTATCACCACTACCACGATCCCTATGCCACCTCCGCCTATTTTTTAACAAATATAAACATTTAATTCTGTATCGCCGGGGTGGCCTAATGGGTAAGATGTAGGCTTTGGAAACACGAGTATGAACAAGGACGCGGGTTCAATCCTGGTTAGAACCGTAAAAACTTTCAAGTTTTTCTTCGATGACTGATGTGTAAAGACATATGGTATGATGAATTTCGGAGCTTAGAGATGACACCCCGGTCACCGACAGGCCTGGACAGCCGGGTGCTAAGGATACCTGTCCAATAAACAAAATAAAGGACACAAATGAAAATATGAATATGAAAGCTAGGGCGTTCCCTCCATGCGACGCGCAGGGTGTAGACCTCCATCCTGTGAAAAATAAAGTAAAGGTCAAAGCAAAGAAGACAAGACTGGCAGACGAGAGAATTGGCATCAATGTTGAAGAGAAAGGTTGATATAGCATGCATACAAGAGACGAAATGGAAAGGACAGAAAACTTTGATGATTGGAGATGGGTATAAATTGTACTATAATGGACTTGTTAGCAATAGGAACGGTGTCGGCATCATCCTCAGCCAAGACCTAACCTCTTAAGTAGTAGAAGTCAACAGGATCTCTGATAGACTAATGAAGATAAAATTCTGCATTGGTCAATCAATACTACACATCCTATCAGTGCTCCTCAAATCTAATTTTAAAATATTTAAAAGGGGGTATATCATTAAAATTATTTTCTGGCTTTGGTTAATCTACAACCTAATATACTAATTCACATTAATCCTTGAGGCTGTTTCATCTCTCGCAGCCCTTAAAATAAAAGTTAAACGTAAATCTTCAATAAGAATTTAATCAACTATTTCCTAGCAATAAATTTATATTCTACTCTTATTCGCCGAATCTTTAAATTATTCTAAAATCTAAAATATCAGTCTAAGTTTCAAAATTCAAATGGTTTTTAGTTTACCAATAACTTCTAAATATAAAATTCCTAATTATCACCTTTAAATAACTAAACACAATTATATCTTATCTACTATGCATGTTACCTTTGTCTTTAATTTTTACATAAACCTAATCTTATCAAAATAATTTCTCTTTTTCAACCTACATTTTAAATATCATCTTGTCAAATTCATATTTTTTTTACCCATTTTCCGTTTTGAATTTCTTTCTTTTGTATGGAGTTTGGTTGGCATTAGACTAAAGGTTGTAAAAGTTCTGTCGCCTCCTCTTTCCAACACCATTGTCACAATGACAAGATTGTCATTGTGCATCATAACCTAAATATAAAATAGAAAACAAATATATATATAAAAAGGAAATTAATAATAATTAGGAATCACGAAATCATAAAATCAACTTTAAGTCTTTATTCAAAATTATAACATTATCAAATTAACAAAATTATAATAGTAAAAAAATAAAAAGAAAAATAAAAGAAAAAGAAAAATAAAATACAAAAAATTAATAAAATAAAAAAAATTAATAAAATAAAAAAAAAGATTTTTTGTATCATAAAAATTGGCCTTTTTATACTCTTTCAAATCTTCTTATAACTAATCATAACTATTCAAATATAATCTTTTTATCACGCGTTATAACAATAAATCCACAAGAATTATTTATGCAAATTACATATAAAGTACAACAAAATCCAAAAGAAATCTTTATGCAAATTAAATCTAACATTTACAACATTTAACATAAAAAAATATATATCCCTTATCAAATTCTTTGACAAATAATTTCAGAAATGCAAGACATACATTAAATTTATCTGAAAAACAACAATAACCTTATATAATAAACAACATATTTTTTAGATAATTTTAATTGATCCTATTACAAAAAAGTATAAGAGTCGGTTATTTTTATTTTATTTGTCATGATTCTCTAATAAGTGGTTTCTCAGGCCTTCCCAGTTTCCCTTAATACGGAATTTACATGTTTTTTTTCCATATTAGACTAATTGGTAAATCAGATATTTCCCGTTCATGTGATGATATTAAAAATTTAAATATCTTCGAGGCGGGAAAAAATTTTCAAAATTATAATGGGTAGGACTGGGCTTGGAACCTCAAAATTAATATTAGCTTGCACCTGACTTGGGAATATCTTTTACAAATTATTAAGGGTTGAGCTGGGCTTGATAAACTTTTTTATAATTATAAGATCTTGGATGCTTCCTAATATTGTGAGCTTGAACCTGGTATGACATCTATCGTAAAAAATGAATAAAAATCTCATTCCCCGTCATTTTTGACGGGCTTTCTACTAGTTTCTATAATTCATTCACAATAAGAATCAGTTTTCATTGACATTTTATTCAGTATAATTTAACCATAAGGTGCAACTTAATTACAAATGGCGATATATAATTACACGTTAATGGATGGGTGTGTACATAATACATTAGGAAGTTAAACAACACCTATTATATTAATCGTAAATATATATATATAATAATATCTAACTGGCAAATATAACATATAATATGATAAAATATTACAATAGATTACTTCTTTACTACATTATATTGAGGTATATAGTTTCTGGGTTGTAAATTTTTGGGTTGTTTTTAATGGTACTTTGTGACCAGGATCGAAAGATACTAGATTAGTAGAATTTACCTAAATAAACAGGTAAAT